ATATTTATGGATGCCTTCGTTTTACTTCTCACTAGATCTCAAATTTCAAACCTTGTAGGAATTGATCCATTATCTCTGCTTCTGAAATATTACTAATTTGAAGACATAAAGACTTAAATTGGGAGACATAATTTTGCATCGACCTAGCTTGTATAAGATTTGTCAATTGATCATGTGCTATCTTTCCTACACTGATGGACCAAAATATATTTATAAATTTGGTCTCAAATTCCTCACAGTCACAAAATCCATCTTGAGCTCCATAGCTTTGAACTTGATGTTACTACCAAATGACTCTCACATACCTCAAATAGCTTACTGCATATATAATTCCTTCAATGGTATTTGCCCTAGATAGTTAGAAATATTATTGCATATTGAAGAGTCATTCATATGTATCTTCTTATCTTGAAGTCTCAAAGTATGTATTAGGCTTATTCAATTTCAGCCTAGTAGATGTCAATTCCTTCATCTTAAAGGCTTTTATTTGTCCTTGCAAAGTAGCTATTTAGTCTAAGAGGTGTTATATTTGAGCCTCCATCTAGGATTGCTCTACCATATTTTTTATGCTGTAATTTTTGTACTGGACTCCACTATTATGATACCTTTTTACTTCTTGATTGATTTTTTAAAAATAGCTCATGATAACCCCAAGACAATACCTAATGTGACTACAATAACTGATCTTCGATTAGATGATGACTATTGACATGCTACCAAAAGTAAACAGTCTAACTTTCACTCTAATATCAATGAAATAGGACCAAACTATTTCAAAAATTCAAGATCCTTCTAATCCACAATAACACAAAGTCTCATTACAAAATAGGACAAAATGGATTGGAACAGAACTGAATAGAACTGAACAAAATAAGACATAAAAGTTCAAATTGAGCCTTCATATTTCAAAAATCCAAAACTAAAATACCGAAAAAATTATGCATAAAATTTAATAACATGATTATATGCATTCTTGAAAAATTTTAGCCAAAATCTTATCAAATTATTCAAGATATAACTCAAAACACAACCACTAGTAAATCGGGTCATTTACCCCCCTTAGATTCCAAGTATTGACTTCAACTTCTAATATCTCCTTCAGTCCAACTTGAATTTCATCAAACAATATATAAAAAATATAGCTAAAAAAGTGTTCATTGCAACTCTGGTTGCCAATTCTTTATTACTTTCTGTATTATATTCAAAAGAGTGATAGTAGATACAAAATCATCACTTTAACTTTGAACATCCATATCTCTTTTATATAAACTCCAAATCATACAAAATTTGTACTCAAATCCTAGCTAAAAACCTAAATTTACTGATTCTAGCTTCCAAAGCTCAAATGACCTTGAAAGAATAATCCTAATTACTAATATGGCTTCGAGTAGATTCCTTGAAGCCCAGTAAGCATGAATTTTGGTCAATTGGAATGGAGATTTTTATCATCTATCTTCATTCATCCATATGAATGCCTTAAATTTTCTTTTTGCTACCAAGATCCTTTTCCAATCCTTTTTCTAATAAGATTTATATAATATATGTCTTAAACATCAAATAAAAGAAACAAAATTATACTTCAAGGATCACTAATGTCTAATAAAGGTGACTTTAAATATGTAAAAGTTATTATCAACCAAAATTAATCTTAAAAGCTACTATAAAAAAAATAATAAAGTTATGTATATTCTAATAGTATTTCTTTTAAACAATTTTCTTTTAAATTAATAATCTAATTACATTCTACAACCAATTAAAATCTACTAACATGGTTCTTATTATGTTTCTTAGTAAATTGTATATCAAACATATAAACACAAGATTTTCTCATCATAGCTGAATCACAACACGACAATATGTGATACATGGCTAACTTATTGGCTAAATTTTAAACCTATCAATCAACTATAAATACATATAAAGTCAAAGCCACATCTATAGAGCTTCTAAGAAGCTATTCTATAAGATATTATAAAATTTATCGACTTCAAACTACTTCTAATTACTCATATTATCAAGATAATTATTTGAATAAATATGTATGTCCATGACATGCATATAAGATGAGCTTACAAAAAAAAGTGTACAAAGCTATGAAAAATTGTGTATTGAATAGATGGTAGATTATAATAGAAATAATAAAAATCATAATGATATTAGTGATATGTATAAATATATATATATATATATGTTTCTTTAAAATTTTAATATTATCTTTTTTCTACTATTTTTAATTTAATATCATATATATAAAAAATTCATAAAATTACAAGGTCCAAAATTAAAGTTATTTGATTTTATCTATCTCAAATTGATTTAATCTACATATACCACCAATCATCTACTTGTGTAATAAAAAATTAAAAAATTAATATTTTACTATTGATTTGTTTGATTTGTCTTTTAGTACTTTTGGATCTAAGTTTTTATAACAACTCTTACAAATAAACCACCATTTTATATCAAGCCAATAATTTTTTTATATATCTTTTTATTTATTTTTTTTGTGCTATTGTCCTATATTCTACAATTCTTTTTATACCAAATCTTCTAACCTTAAGTTTTCAATAAATTTCTTAAAACTTATTTTTGACTCAAAATTTAAATCAAAAAACCTTAAATCAAAATATATATCTTCTTTAAATATAAAAAGATCCTAGAATATATATATATATATATATATATATATATATATGTGTGTGCTTCATACTTCTTTTTGCATATTGCAAATTTTGGTATTTAATTTTTTTTTTCTATCTTCTATCTGCTTATGCTACTTTTAAGATTTTTATTTTTTATTTTTTATTCAATGAATTTTGGAACAATTCAATACTTTAGTGAATTGATGGACCATCTATATTCAATTCAATATTCTACAATAGCATTTATAAATAATTTATCAATTAATAAATTCTATTTATAAAATATATATAAATAAAAGTAGTTTTTAATATTGTTGGATCAATTGACTACTTATTCTTGTTAAAAATAAAAAATACTAAGCAATTTTTAGACTAATTTATCATAGTAGTAAGCTATCTACCATGCTTAATTCAAAAAAATATGTTATATTTGTCTTTTAAGAAACACTATCTATCCAAAGCATAACTTAAATAACAATTTCCTTGTCACAATTCTCAAATTATCTTTACTACAATTGAACCGACATCCATGGCCTTCTTACTACAATAGCATCACTTTTTTATTTTTTTCTTTTTTCTTTCTTTTTTTCCATTTGTTATCAATGACCAATTGCGTTGGATATGCAAAATTCAAGGCCTCTATTGAATTAGTTATTATAAGATTGCTATTCCAATAAATTTATTACAACTACCATTATACAACATTATGTAAAAATATCTTTAACTTTATTTTATAATTAAAAATATTTTATAATAGTTGAATACTACCATATTTTAAGCTTATAATTATTCAAAATAGAACCTACTATCCCAAAAATATTTGAATATAATAACTAATAAATTTACTAAAATTAAATTTGATAATATATATAAGAGAATTTTAAATAGATCCACTTTTTTACAAAAGTGATCCACCTATTCCAACCATCATAAAAAAATAAAAATAAAATAACCTCTAGATTCATTTTTTTAATACTAAATCCTAAAACTAATGAAAACCAACCACATTCGTCATGATTACCATATTCTTCATTATAAGTAAATTAATTTAGTGAAAACTTAGATCTATTTAATATTATCTTATTTTTACTATCTATTATTTGCATATCTTTTAATTGTCTTGGAATTCTTAATTAAAAAATTAATTTGATATTTATTCTCTATTATTATTTTTTTACATAGATATTATACTAACCTATTCTCATTTTATTTTAAAAACACTTTATTGTACATGGTATTACCTACAAAATACAAGATTCATGAAACAGATCTTATATTTGGCTATAATTTTCAGATAGGACTTTCACTCATGTATATAATGCTTAAAGTCATATTGATACATTAAAAGATAGACATGCAAGAAAATTTGCATCCGATTATTAGACTAATAATTTTATTTACAATATGATATATAATTTACATTATTTTGGATAAGATTACAGTTTGAATTATTGAATAAAAAATTATATATTCATGAAATAAATTATTTTTCTATTAACAGCAGTTAATTGATACAAAATTCATAAATAATTTATTATATTTTTAAATATTTTGAATTTTTTATTTTAATTTAATTTAATAGTGATTGTATAAACTGAACAATCTCTAAAGAACAAAATCAAACATTACCTTTCTAATCAATTGTTCTACACAATTAACACAAGCAAAAAAAATCATAAAATTATGTTGTCTTAATAGTGTAGAACATTTATTAATATAATTTTAGAAAAAAAACATATTTTTTATTTCTTATTCATTAAATTTATCAATACTTTTTGCAATTGTAGTCAAACAAAAAAAATCAATTTAAAAATTAAAATATTTGATCCAAAAAATCAAGAAAGTAGCATTAATAGAAATATTGAAAAAAATAGACATATCTCTCTCTCTCTATATATATATAGGAGGATGTTAAATAGACCCAAGTTTATATTAAATTAACCTACCTATGATAAAGAATATTGTGATCACAATGAAAGTGATTGGTTTTCATTGGTTTCAGATCCAATAGTGGAGAAATGAATCTAGAGGTTTTTCTTTTTCTTCTTTTAATGATGGTTAGGATGAATGGATCAATTTAATAAAAGCTTGGGTCTATTTAACATTCCCCTATATATATAAACCCAACAATTGTAATCTTGTAAAATTCACTTAGAAAAAAAAAAAAAAGAAAGAAAGAAAGAAAGAAAGAAAGAGTGTGAATACTTAATAAGTAAAGAACTGGGTGCTGGTCCTGGAACGCCGTGGAAATGGTTCAATAGGCAAATGACAACCAAACCCACTTTAAAAATAGTATAGAGAAGAAGAAGCAGAAGAAGAGAGAAGCATCCGCAGACAGACTCAGACTGAAGCAGTGGCGGAGCCTACGAGGAAGTAAGCAGTGCTTCCCACGCTAACCCACTCTGAACTGGGATAGATAGCCGGTACGTCGGCACATGGGCAAGCGCAGCGACCCATTCCCCTCCAGGCAAAATACGTAAGAATACAGTGTCTCCGGGTGCATTCGCTCGCATTCTTTCACTGAAGAAGGCCGATCATGGCGGAGGAAGCCGAAGGACGTAAGCCGAAGCGGCAGAAGCGTTGTGAGGCACATCCGCCGACAGGGGTCGGTTTTCGTTCCAATTCGGGCCCGCTGTACTTCGAAACACGTTTCAATTGCGGCGGAGCAGAATTTAGGTTGTATAAGAGTAGGATTGAGTCGGTGACAGTAGGAGGGTTAATGTACGATATTTCGAAGCGGTATGAACGGTGGCTTAAATCGGTTGATGGAGTCGGAAACGAGGAATCGCCCACCCTGGAGTTGAACTTTTCGGAGTACTCGCTTGCCCTGAAGTTGGATCCTTTCCCTTCTGACCTCCTAGAATTGAACGATTCGAATTTGCCTTTTAAAAAAAAAATGGACTACAAGAAAAAGCTGGTGGAGATGGTACGACGTCAAGCGCACGACGCTGCAAGAAATTATCCGCCAAGTCAGGTAACTGGACTTAAAACACATTTGTCTTGTTCCTTTGTCGAGAATCAGGGTTTGCGCCTATGTCGATCGCATGTAGCGTCTGTAAAGCTTGAATTCGCAAGTCAGATCGTTGCAGGGTGTTAAGCCTCTTGTTTTCTCATTTTCATTTGAGTGGCTTGAGCCAAGTCTGTGTTACATCGAATAGGGCGGCGATTGATGATGTTTGGCATGTTGCAGGGACCCGGCACCCAGGGTAACAATCCTCAAAGATTGCCCTTTCAAGCCGCTCCCGTCACTCCGCCGCCCGTCCCCAGAAGTACTGTCACTCCGCCATCTGTTTGCAGAAGTATTGAACCCCAAGACATTCTGGATAAGATGTTTGAGATTCAAAGCTTGTTACGGATCGCGTCTGAGTCCAAGGTTGTCGAAAGACAGAATTTGGAACAGAATTTGAAATGTCTGAACGAGAGCAGGGGTAGAGTCAGTCAATCGGAACTTCATACTCCGGATTTTGCGGCCTCGATGCTCTCCTCTGCTCGAAACCTGAGTTCGATGATTGAAAAGTACGTGTCAGATGAGTCAAATTGTGACCGGCTGCGGAAGGAACTGAAAGGTACGTTGGACATAAGTCATTGAGGCTTTTAGCGTTTCGAAATAACAAGGTGAACGTGAGGAAGATCTCCATAGCTTTATTATTTTGCTGCGTTCGTTGCTGATATAGGATTCGCTTGAATTTCGCATAACATGAAAGATGCGGTGTTTCATTGTGTGCTGATGAGTTTGGCGCTGTGGTTTGTGACAATCAGAAGCCGAATTAGAATGCATCACCGACAGTTTGACGACTGACCCAAACCAACAGACAGGCCGTCTACGAGAGGAGGAGCCGCGGTTTATACCAGAGTTAATGGAAAACGACCTTCAATGTAGTTTGGGTTATGACCATGGTGCTTGTCCAAGTGTCCCTTCTTACACGCCCCCTGTATCGAAGATAGATGAGATTTGGCCTGAAGATTGAAATGAGAACTACACTGATAAAAGTGATACCTACTTTAAGTATACTACTTCTCCTTCTGCTTCTTAAATCTCTTAACCAAGCAGAAGGACTCTGATCTATAGCAACGTTGCCAGCTTTCAGCCGTGAGGCTTAAGCCATAGCCTAGAAGCCATAGCTAGAGCACCGGCCCTTGATATGAAGAGGCGATAGCTGGAAGTTAGAGCTGATGTATATTTAGAGCAACTTTGTGTTGATTTCATACTTTTATTTATTTTCTGCCCTACTCATGGGATCTTTTAGGTTGAATATTTGAAGTGTTGTCCCAAGTGTTATCTTCAATTGTGAAATAGTGTAACACTACTTGAAGGATTGTCTTTCATGTGTGTTTAATTTTTATTCTTTCTTAAGCATGGTTTAGAATGATCGATTTACATGATTGTGGTTTTATTAAGTAATCAACATGATGTAAAGAATCAAGTAGGATATGTATTTATACGTTGTTTTCATTTAAATTTTATGTCTGTATGCCTGTACATATATATTGTAAAGTCTGATTCAATACATGGAAGTAAGGCATTGACTTCACTGGATGATTTTAACAAAGTAAGCTTACAGTTTTAGTCTTGATTTTATAAAGACAAACCAGAATAAATGGAGTTGGCTTAAATGTACACATACAACTTTAACTATTCAGGCTTCTATAATTAATTTGCTCTTGATTTATAGTTGTATTTAAATCAATACATAAAAAATATAGTTGTTTGCAATTGAGTTTTGTGTAATTTAAATTATACCAGTCTTATTATGTAAATAAAAAATTTAATACGACTCTATGATGTTTTGTGAGCATTTTTTTTCACTACATTGATGAAAAAGTATCAAAGTGGACTATAAATTGAAATAAAACAAAGTAATATATATATGAGAATTTTGATTGTTACTTTTAAAAACAAATACAATATTTCCAAATAATGTTAAAAAGATATTATTATTCAAATATTACTGCAATTATTTTCTTCAAATGTTCTCTATAAAGAAATTGTATAAAAATATCTATTGATACAATTTATAAAATGACATTATGTTTAAAAGATTATTATGAATAAAAAATGAATAATTTCAAGATGATTTCTTGAAACATATATATATTCACATAATTTTTTAATATTAGAAAATAAGTAGAAAATACTTTATAATAATTATTATATCTTTGGCTATTTTTTAAAAATTATAAAATATAATTTATTTGATTTTTTAAGTTAATACTTATAAATATCAATAATTATATAAAAAATAGAATTTATCTCTTAATATTTTTTTAAAATATATTTAAAAAATATATACAATATATATATATAGATACAAAAAAAATATTAAAATGATCTACCCAATTACTTAATCAACTTATGCTATAATAACCATTATTAGAAAAATTGATCATCTCCAAAAACTGTCATTATAATTATGAGCTTCATCTCCATCCACTTCATTTCAAGCCCCCACTTCTTTTCTTTCCAACTTTCTTCATCTCAAAACCCCCCTTCTTCTCTTTCATGTTCCTTTCTTTCTATTCTTAGCTTTCATCCCATTCTCCTCTATTTGCTATAATAGAGTAGATTGATTTAGTAAATAGGTGGGTCATTTTAATATTTTCTAATATATATATATGTAATTATTTTGTGATTGGAAGGAGTTTGAGACCAAGTTTAGAAATCAATTTTGGCCCATCAATGCAGAAAATCTTATACAATCTAAGTCAATTCAAGATTATATATTTTTTTAATTAATTTCCTATGTTTCTAAATTGGCAATGTTTTAGTAGCAGAGATGATGGATTAGTTTCTATGACGGTTGAAACTTGAGGTCCAACAAGAGGTGGAACTAAGGCATCCACAAACATTTGAAGAGGCAATTAGAATTGCAAAGAGGATCAATATTATAGATTTTAGAAATCATGGAGCACAACCTATAGCATGAAGTCATATGCTGCTATCTAATATTATGACACAACAACCAATGCTAATGGAGATTGATGCCATGCAAAGATCATTGACACCACAAAGACAACAAATATTATCATAGAAAGGATTGTATTTCTACTGTTAAGAATTAGGCCATTGGATTGGAGGTTGTCGAAAACATCAAAATTCAAGTACCAACGAATGAAGTTGGGTTTATAGTCTTTAGACTCACTAAGTCAATAATGAGATGGAATAGGGAAATGAAGCTCTCTAATAAAGGCGTCTAGAGTCAATACTATAGATAGATGTTGTTTCTTAGGAACAAATGGTATAGCTTTGGACAACTATAAAAAAAGGTTAAATGGTGTATTTAACGGAACAACTAAGAAGACAATCATGTGAAGTATTTATGGATTGTAGCTCTACAAAAAATTGCATCTTGACTAAAATTATTGATTGACTTGGGATTAAAATTAAGGTAATAAAAAGAAAGAATATATATCTTGTAGATGACTATGAGAACGTATTAAATGAGACATGTGAAGAAAAATCCTTGAGATTGAGTGACTCATATGTCTTAATAGAGAATTTCAAGGTAACAAAGCTAAGATATGATATTATCTTTGGTATGCTATGGCTAGAGGTGGAAAATAAGTAAGTTAATTAACTAGCAAGAACAATCTCTTTAAAAGATGGTGGATGCAAGGTGACTCTTTGTATCTTCGTATTGAGTGACAAAGAAAAATAACTTACGACTAAAGACTTACTTATATGAATGATCTTTATGAAGAAGCAAATATAGTATAAACAACCAGTATATGGTGTTTTTAAATCTTGCATCAGTGGTGAGAAAGACAGTCAAAAGAATAGAAGTGGCAAAGCAACTCATATGAAAATAAGGAGATATCTTTCCAATCGACATATCTAATGGCATGCCTTCAAATCAAGGTGCCTCTTTCTAATTTGAACTATTACCTAAGGCGAAACTGACAAATTGGCCAATATATTATCTAGTATCAAATAAACTTGAAGAGTTGCAAAAGATATTAGACAAATTCTTGGAGAAGGGCCTCATTCAAAAAAACACATCACGATAGGGAGCACCTATATTCTTTTCACCCAAAAAAAAGGGTGTAGACTTTGGCTTTGTATTGACTATTAAGGCATCAATAAGCAGATTGTTAAGAATATATATCCACTCTTATACATGGACTATCTTCTAGACCAACTTTGAAATATGACCATCTTTAGCAAATTGGACCTTTGAAGTAGCTATTAGCAAATACCTACCACAAGAGAAGATATAAAAAAGATACCATTTTGTATGCACTATGGATATTTTGAATAGCTTCTTTTACCTTTTAGCTTCACTAATATTCTATCTTCCTTCATAAGTCACATGAAAAAATTATTTTGGAATCTTTTGAATAAGTATATAATTATCTTCATCGATGATATCCTAGTGTATAATAAAATCCGTAAGGAGCATGAGCAACATCTACAAGAAATACTATGCCAGCTACAAGATAGTCCCTTCTATTGCAAGCAATCAAAGTGTAAACTTTGGAAGTCATAGATCACATTTTTGAGACATTTGGTGTCTTTTGAAGGTATATATATGGAATAAGATAAGATGAAAGCAGTGGAGGATTGATCGACTCTTAAAAATGCTTATGAAGTTTGCTCCTTCTTAAGCCTTGCTAGATATTATCACTATTTTGTTTGGAAATTTGCACAAATTATTACCTTATTGATAAGCCCATTGGAGAAATATATCCTATTTAAATAGAAACTAGAACCACAAAGCACCTTTGATAGGTTGAAGGAAGCACTCATTACTGCTCCAACATTACAACTATATGATTTCAACCTTCCTTATATACTTGATATTGATCCTTTTAACTTTGCTAATGGAACAATCGTTCAATAAGACTTTGGTAGGAACCTTCAACTCATGGCATATGAATCATGCAAGCTCAAAAAGGCAAAGTACAATTATTCTACATGTGATCGAGAGCAATTAGCAATTATACATTCTATAAAGATTCCATAATATTATTTGTTAGAAAAAATAGTGATTATTTGGATTGACCATTGATCCTTGCTACATAATTTGTATTTGGAAAATATGAAATCTTGACATCATCATTGGAAAGAATAGTTATAACTTTTGATATTCAGCTTGAATATAAGCAAGGGCAATAACATATTATGTCAAACAACTTATTGCGGAGACCAAAATTGAAGGCTAAATTAGAAGACAAGGCAAAAGTTGCTACCATTAGTAATGTCATTTTAAATCTAATCAAAGAGACAAAATGGAAGAAAGCTATGCATTGAGATGCTTATTTCAAGATGATTAGCAATTAGCTAAAAGTGGGTAATATACAATATCAAGATTACAATCTTAGTAATAGCTTGTTCCATTTCAAAAAATAAAGTTATGTACTTGACAAAGCTATACTTTAAATGCGCATACTTCAAGAAAGACATGACATTCTAATATCTGGATATCTAGGATGTAAATAGACTCTAGAACGGATCTTAAGAACATAGTTTTGGATAGATTTGGATTGTGATGTTTGAGCTTTTGTGCACTCTTGCAAGTCATGTCAATATAACACAACATGTAATGTAACATTTCTTGGATTATTAGAGTCAATTCAACTACCTATGGCACAATGAGAGTATGTGACTATAGATCTCATTATGTGTTTGCCACAAACGCCTCACAATCATATTGCGGTTGTTGTCATTATTGATCAATTGTTGAAGTAACTTTACTTGGCTATTGTGTATTTAGATATTGATGTCCAAATACTTGCACAGATCTTCTTTCATATTGTCTTTTATCACCATAGATTATATCATGTCATCATTTCAAATCAAGATCTAAGCTTTACAAAAAAAATTTGGTAGGTCTTATTCAAGCTAATAGATATATAACTTGTCAAATTAATAGACACATAACTATAGACTTTCCTCTCCAAATAAATGGAAAAATAGAGCATGCAATCGAACCTTGAAATTAGTGGCAATTCATCATAATGACTAGAATGAATATTTGATATCCTTAGAATTTACGTACAATAATAGTATTTAAGCAAGTATCAATCATTTACTATTCTTTTTTAATATTAATTAATATCTAATTACATGAGAAATTTTTTATTATTCCATTGATACCAACAATCTAACAACAAAAGAGTTTATATAATAGCTTTCAAGAGACAATGCACCACTTCTTTATCAGACAAAATTGACAAAAGTAGTATATAGATAACCACTAGCAACACAAGACCTTTTGGGAGGGTGATCAAGTCTTACTCTCTAATGCCAACTTATCTCTTTTTACATCAATTCAAATTCATAAATTAGAACCTTGGTAGCTTCGACCTTTTTATA